CCATCAGTATTCGACTTCCCTCCTCATCTAGCTTCAGCACCACCAAAGAAAAGAAGGATTATAATTAAAAAACAGGTAATTATAACATCATGACATTCATGAACTGTGATACTTTTTAGGTGAAATCGTAGATATACAAAATGTTTGTAGCCTAATTTATTTCCTTACATAGAAATGTAAAATATCCAAAATACAATCATTGTTCATAAAGTGGTGATGATAACAAAGTACAAAAGAACACGTAAATTAAGTAGTGATTGCCCTGTAATTGATTTTACGATGAAAGTTTACTATCGATAAATCTACGATAGCCACACATTTTATTGGAGGTCATGCTGTTTGAAAATTAATAAGAAACATTTCACTAGGACGAAATGAAAATAACACATGTTTTACTACTAGGACAATCAAAATAAAGATTAAAATGAGTGTAAGTGCTATTATAAGCTATAAATAGTTTGTTGTTATAGATTGGGTTTTGCCAGTTTCACTGTGACCATTATGTGTTTATGTTGATAAACATTATAATGTTTACCTATTACCACATGATTAATATAGGCTATTTACAGGACATCTGTGTATCTGATGACATCTGTGTATCTGATGATATCCAGACACCAACTGCTTTGTTGCCGAAACATGACGATTCCTCTCCTAGTACATCAATTATCATTCCATCATGTGAAAAACCAGATGAAATCCAGTGTATTAGTATTACGAACAAACAGGTAAGGGGTTTTTTTAGAAAGTAGGGTAGAATATACAAAGATTCAACACTTAGTTAATATAAAGTCGATAACTTTACTCAGTCATACGTCTTTTGTATTAAAATTTACGTCTATACGAATCTTCATCAATGAACATATTAACCATAGAAACAACATGGAAGCTCTTAGCACGTTATCTGATTATCTTAATGCCTAATACTTTAATTTAACTCTTAATTTTAATATTTTTAGACGCCACAAACACCAACCAAAAATTTGCTTCGACGGAAAATCAAGATTCTACAACAACGGTTAAAGAGGAGAGAAAAGAAGATAAAAACAATGAAAGATGTGATTATTTTATTAAAGAAAAAAATTAATGCTCCAGATAGACTGTTAGAACTATTAGAAGATAAGTTTTCTGGGTTTCCTCTTGACTTAATTGTACATAGTATTAAGAATAAGAATGCTAGGAACTGCAGAAATTTTTCAGATAAAATGAAAGAATTTGCTTTGACCATGTATTTTTATTCGCCAAAGGCATATTCATTTCTCAGAAAAAATAACTTTCTATTGCCTCACCCTGCAACACTGAGGAAATGGATTGCAAGTTTCAACTGCCTGCCTGGTTTTTTGGAGGAGGTATTGAATTATTTAAAAGCAAACTTGGAATCAAAGCCTTTTTTAAAGAATGTAAATCTTACATTTGATGCCATGAGCATCAGGAAGCAAATAATTTTTGACCATAATTTAGGGAAGAATTTCGGTTATGTTAACCTTGGCAATGAAGTAAATGTTGGTGAATCCGAAACCTTAGCTTCTGAAGCTTTAGTTTTTCAAGTTGTTTCACTAACAGGTAATTTTAAATGTGCAGTAGGCTATTTTCTCATTGATAAAATAGGTTCCGATATTTTGTCTAAGTTAGTTAACATGTGTGTATCGAAGTTGCTAGAAATTGGAGTTATCGTCCATAATGTAACATTCGATGGTGCCAGTTCCAATATAACAGCTGTGAAAAAGTTGGGATGCCAATTGCCTGAGAAACCTTATTTCTTTGTTAAGTGTAATGGCGTATCTCATAAGATTTGTGTCATGTTAGATGCATGTCACATGCTGAAATTAGCCAGAAATACTTTGGCGGACAAAGGTACCATTCAGGCAGATGATGGAAATGTTAGTTTTAAGTATATACAAAATCTTAATTCTTTGCAAAAAGATGAAGGATTATCATTGGCTAACAAGTTGTCTGACAAGCATATATGCTATAAAAACAGAAAAATGAATGTAAAAATTGCAGCTCAAACGTTGAGCTCTGGCGTTGCTGACGCTTTACAATTTTTGTTAATGAAGGAACATCCCAATTTTGTAGGTTGTAAACCAACCATAGATTTCATTAGAATAATTGACCAGTTATTTGACATTTTCAATAGTAGAGACCCGTTTGGGAAAAATTTCAAATCCCCCATAAAGAAAGAAAACCTTATGTACATTAAGATGATCTTAGACAAAAGTTTAAACTATTTAAAAAGTTTAAAAATTGAAAACGTCCCCATCTTAGAACACCCTAGAAAGACATTTGCTCTCGGTTTCATTACTAACATCAACACAATTGGCATTTTAATTGATAAACTACTAATTGATCTCAAATTGAATTACATACTAACTTATAAATTTTCTCAGGACCACCTGGAGTTGTTATTTTCATGTATACGAGCTAGAGGAGGAAATAATAACAACCCAAATGTAAAGCAATTTCAGTGGGCCTTGAGAAAACTTATGTTCTGTAACAGTATCCAGCCTTCTGCAAAGGGAAATTGTTTGGTTTTTGACGAACACCATCAAAATTCGGTCATGAGCTTTGGAGAAGCAGCGCGGTTGCATAGTAATGAAACCGAGGACAACGACGACGACTTTGAACTTTTGATTAATCTTTACGAGGATACTAATAGTACATTTAAGGACAATGCATTGTACTATATATGTGGTTTTGTGACAAGGAAGATTATAAATAAAATAGAATGTGAGGAATGTACAAATCTATTGATTGATGACGAACAAAACTTAAGCCCATATACACATTTTACAGATCATGTAAACAGGGGTAAACTAGTCAGAGCCTCGTCAGATGTGTTTAAGATTATAAAGTTTTTGTTTAATCAATTCAGAAGTTTTGCTTCAACCAACTGGGCTAAAATGAATGCCTATAATATATGTGCTTTGGCATCAAGGATGTTTGCTGGCAATGTATTCCGAGGCCACAAATCAAACGGAGATCTTGGTGAAGACAATCATGATCTAATGCTCATTAAAATGATAAGCATGTTGTTTTCTAAAGTATATTGTCATAAAGTGTCAAAAGAAAAAACCTTAAAAAGTAATGTTTCAAACCTCGGCGTTCGGCAGAAACTAAATAAACTTATTTTGTTTAGCCACGTCTAGCAAAATATTGAAAATCTTTCAAATGTATGATTGTTGTCTAGCAAATGATTTCTATTTGTAAAAGTTGTTTTTTTGGTTAGATTAATTAAAGTTATATCAGAACTACAAAAGTTAAGTTTTATTTCCTTTGATTATTCTACACTTGGGAGTTCATTACCGGTAGGCCTACTGAAGTTTTTCTCACTACTGTGAGAGTGAACAATTAATGTTATATAATATAATTTAACGTCAACTGATGTACTATATAACCCAACTGACTGAATAAAATAATCCATATCGATGCATATACATAACATCAAAACTGTGTTATAAATCCAAGACTACCAACAAGAAAGTTCAATTTTAAATATGTGTTCCGGGTCCCTATATTATAGTTTAGATAATGTACCTATGAGAAAAAATTACATACAATACCATACACGAAAAGAGAAATTCATTTAAACATTTTGGTGACAATAAGGAAGTAAAAAAGTGCGATGTGTCGGTGGTCACAATGCTACTTCAATGCTATGGCCCACTGCGGTTGCCCACTTGTGGTGGGGGGAGCGGCGCGGCGGCGGCGGACCGTTTCGTTTACCAGCCGAGCGCGATCCAGTTAGGTTATATACATCGATGGACACCACAGGGAATAAAAACTGAAACAATAGAACGGGATGAACAGTTTTGGCAGGAAGAAATGTTGCCAAAACTAAACAAATTCTACATGAATTGCATACTACCCGAAATCATCGACCCTCGGCATTCCCGGTCTATGCCCATAAGGAATCCTTCGTATATAGTAGAGGCTCAGACAAAATCTAAAGAAAAGAAGGCAGAAAAAACAGAGTAAACTTGTAAAACTATGAAAATGGTTGTTGTAAAACTATGAAAAAGCTGGAATTATTGTACTTGTTTATTGTTCAGTATTGTATTATTGTTCTGTATCAATTGTTGTAAATCGAATTGTTGTAAATGTTTAAAATTACTATTTCAAAGTAAACGTTTTAATGTTTTCTCCACTATAGTCTATACCTTAATTTACAAACCTTATAACCACGAAATATCAAACTTTTCAGGAGAATAAAAAAAACTGTTTTCTACTTTTCCTGTTATATACAGTATACAGTGTTGGGAATTAAAAATAACATTGATCAGCATTTAATTTGATGCTATGAAGTAAATTGTATATTAGCATGAACATAAATGTTTAAATTTAGATCAGTTTTGATTCACCAAAATAATATAGTAATAATAATAGTAATAATCAATAGCTTTTCAATTAAAATACCATACATATTTTTGATGTTTACATAACAAAATAAGTGTAGCATCGTAGGTTGAGTATAAGTATGTTTGTGTAAAAAGACGACAGGTTCATTCGACCCTCAGTCAGTATAGACCATTTCGAAAGGTAGGCACTGCCACTGCCCGTTTGTCAGCACAGCTACTGTACAATGTACTGCTCAAGGTCAGACGCTAGCCGTGCGGGTTGCGGAGCATACAATTGCAGGAGTAGCAGATTGACGATTTAGAACTTGACTCCTGCCGCCTCTTAAAACAAAGGTTACTTTCTGAACAGTCCTCGTTTGTGTATTCCTCCAAGAGCATGTTCAGCATCAAATTCAAATTACCTTGTGTTCCTTGTTTATTGTATAGATGGTTTGTTTGTGTGTATATAATTTATACCTAATTATATGAAGCATCCAGTGATGAATGGATAAAATTCTCTTACCTCTCATTCTTCACTGTATACAAAAAAATCCGCTCTGTTAGTCTATATGTTTGTTTATTGTCGTATTTGTTGTCAAGACCCCAACAAAACATCAGCACTACCCAATACCATTGTAACCTCAAATTCATCATAATTTGTTGCAGCTACCAGCAAATTTTGACCTAGAGAAGGCCATGGCCCGGTACCCAGTGGAGTACACGGAGTCTATGAACACAGTGCTGGTCCAGGAGCTGGAGCGGTTTAACCGACTGCTGTCCAATATTCGCTCCAGCCTCCAGAATCTCCAGAAGGCTATCCGAGGCTCCATTGCCATGACTCCGGAGTTGGAGGCAGTGTGTCTGGCTCTAATGGTATCCAAAGTGCCTGCCTCGTGGCTCAAAGTGTCTTATCCCAGCCTCAAACCACTCGGCACTTACGTAGCCGACTTTCTGGAGCGTTTGAACTTCATGCAGGTATGTGTGTTTTTTTGGTGTTACAATACTGGGAGATACGTGGTACAATAATGACCTTTCTTAGTAAGTTTTCCTCAGTTCATGTTTTCCCTAACGCCACCATTCAATGTGGGGAAATTTCAAGGACAAAATTATGCAATTACTGTAAATTACTAAAAATTGCATAATTTTAAGATACTACTACTATTTGAATGAAAACATTGATGATTGCCACCTTTATATCGTTAAAAATTATGAAATCCTTTTCTGTGATACAGAAATTCACTTTCAAATACTATGAGGTTTTAATTATGGTCCAAGAATATTATAACAGAAACGTTAAGGATCATCAATATATGTTTATGATCCATACTATTTCTGTTCTAATATTGGTGTCATTGTTTGTTTTATTCTAATCTATTTATTTAAAGATACATATCACAAAATAAAATAATACACACTTTTAAAACATGAAATGATATTTCTAGGTCTGGTTTGACCAAGGGAAGCCTGTAAACTTTTGGATATCTGGATTTTTCTTTACCCAAGCTTTCTTGACTGGTGCCATGCAAAATTTTGCTCGTCGCTACAAACTGCCGATTGATCAGTTAGTTTACGACTTTGAACTAATGTCCGCCGATCGTATGAAAATGGCTCCATCTGACGGAGTCTATGTTTATGGCCTGTTCCTAGAGGGTGCTCGCTGGGATAGAGAAAAGTGAGATTTTTAAATATAATTTAGTTTAATATTACTTTAGACTTTAAATATTTAAATGTTTTCTTATGCTCTAATTTATTTTGAAATGTAGTTTGGTGGGTTCTACATGGTTTTGGTCAGCCTTTGTCATACAAAACTTAATACTAAGGGTTAGCGTCAAGTGAGAAAAAGTAATAAAATAAAAGTATTATAATTAATCAACACAAATTAGTGCTTAACCACACATTTAAAGACTATTTCATAACTTTAAAAAATTTCAACTTTTTAACTTTTCCTACTCCCCCATTGCAAATTTTTACCAAATAATACGGGGACTATAATATTGAACAGTTTTTTTGTCGGATTAATTCTTTGGATGTTGATGCTTTGGTCTAATTACATTGTACTATAAGTAAGTAATATATTTTTTTTAAGTTGTCTATTGAACCATTGATTGTATTCAATAGAGGTTTTTTTAACCTGGATACAATTGAGATGTCTCAAGTCACTAAAAAAAAATCAATCGTACCTGACAATGTCCATTACATGTAAATAAATGTTCAGTAATAACAAACTAGTTATTATTCTTATTCCTTTAATGCAAATGTGTCCTTTAACAACGTCTCTGTCAGGCACCGTTTAGATGAACAGTTACCAAAGGTCCTCTACGACCCGATGCCCTCGGTCTGGTTCCGGCCGATGATGCAGTCGCAGCTGAACGAAGGAGCTCGCTATAAGTGTCCATTGTACAAAACTACCGAGAGGCGAGGCGTACTACTCACCACCGGACACTCTACCAACTTTGTCCTTCCGATCTTCCTACCCTCGGACAAACCTGCGACTCATTGGATCAAGCGAGGAGTCGCTTTACTGTGTCAGCTGACTGATTGATTGGTTTCAGATTTCAGGATACGACTAACGCAAGTATTATTAATTTTGGTAATACTGTGCAGGGGAAATTATGTTTTTGTCATTGTCATTGTTATTGATAACAAAGTAAGAATGTGGTTAGGGAGTGATTTTGATTGGAATCCCTTTTAAAATTATTTTAGGTGAGAGTAATTGAAAATATAAATTGTGTGAACAGTAATTAATTGTAAAAATAAATACTAATATGTAGCTTTTTGAATGGGAAATTGGCATGTTTATTTTAGTTATAAAAGTGTTATGCTGTTTACCTTTTTTACAGTATGTTGGTTTGTACATTTTGTTCTATGTTTAACTTTTCCTCCATTTATTATGCGAGAAAGTCAAAATACATTGAAACTTAAGTATATTGTAGCTGTAGGTACTCTTATTTGGGATTATTTGGGTCAGCAATGGCTATTCTTTGAACATTTTGGGACTTGGACATTTAGGAAGACTCTAGTTTTGGACTATGGGACATTTTTAATATTATAATTTTGGGCACAATGAAACTAGTTTATGGTCCTGGAAACTATTATGATACTTTGACATTATTACCCTCCTTACTTAAGTTTTTGACACCATGAAACCTTTCTAAAACTATTGCTTTATGGGCATTATGGCACTCCTTAATGGTCTAGGACATGGCGACCCATGGACAATAATAAATAGCACACATATTATAAAAATAAATAAATACTTTATTGGTCCTTTTACATTAATATCAGCTGGTAGCTAAACAACTATGTCTGACAGCTAAATATCATCTCTATTGAAGAAGCTGCAGTGTTTGAAATAAAAAGAGTTTAAAAGAATCCATTATGAAGAAAAAATACCATTGCTTAAATAGCAAGCTAAAAAAATCCCTCTTCTAAACTTGGCACTCTTTTACTTCTAATTTTTCTTCATTGTGCTTCACCAGTGAATAAAAATACATTTTTTAATACTTCCTTATCAAATAAAGCCTTTCTCTACAAATTCAAGCACAAGACTTTTGACTCGTTGCGAATACATTAATGAGAAACTATCACAATAAAAATCAGTGCGACCCTGGGAATCTTTGGCACTGTCGGTTATACTAGGCAACACTAGAAAACTCATGAGAAGTCCGTATAAAGCGTGGCTCTCAATTTCGTCTAAAATCTCCTCTAAAGTAACAGTAGGTGAAGACGGAGCGATTTTTTTCATAGTTTCTGAAAGACTTTTGTGATACACTTTGATTAAATCTTCAGAATACTCTCTCGACAGACCCGGCTCTAAACTTGTGTGTAAAAAGTGTAAAATATCGTTAGCGAGAGAGCTGTACCGGACCACTTGCAAGTCTGTTAGTACGACGTCATCGATTTTATCGTTTTTATAACTAAACATAATGTTGTTTATCCAAAAGTCACCATGGCAGATTACGCTGAGAGGTTCTCTTGGTGCGGCGAGCGACACGAGAGTACGGAACGTCCGACCGCGTAAACTCTGCAGCATTTGTACCGCCTCGAAGATAACCATTTCCGGGCATTTTTTGAGGCTGGATATGGCGAGTTCCAACGCACTCTCTAGTGATGCACCGAACACTGGGGCCGCCTCGGGTACAAACACTACCTCCTGCACTTGTGAAGTAACACGGTCGAAGGCACTTTTGTCTTGATGCTTCAGAGAGAGTGATACTGCGTGGAACCTTCCTAGAGCCTAAAACAGACAAATAAACTATGAATCATAGCTTTTACAATTGTAGATACTATAGAGTATATAGATTTTTTAAATACATTTTTTCCTACCTTTTATCTAGGCTAAGCTCTAGTTTGGGATTGTTTTTCACATTACTTCAGGCTACATAGGTCTAAGGTTACGGAATTATCACATAGTTGAAATCCATTGGTGATTGGCAGGATTTGAAACCAGTGCCTCGGGAACTAAAGTCTCTACCACTAGACCAGCTCACTCCCCAGATTAAATGGTTAAAAATGCAGGGTTTCGTAAAACACTGGTGAGGTTTGATTTTTAAACTAAAAACAATAAATGTTCTTATACACAATTATATACTTTAGTCTACAGGCACCCATACCCATTCAAGTCTATTTAGTCTATTTAAAGCCACAAGCTGCACAACATTTCCTTTGTAAGTGAAGACCACATATTTGATTCTTTCTCTCGGATGAGCAACACTTTTATTTTCTCTAAGACTAAAAATGACCATGACCAAAACCATAGAGTCAAGTATAAACTAAAAGGCCATGCCACCTGTACCAACCCAATTGTTTTGTAATCCAGCTACTAGGAGGTCACGAATTGTGGATAATTATAGGGGTGCACTGTGGATGCGATGCTACCTGGTGTGGATTAACGCCCGCACTAGTGAGTACTACGACTATCCAATTCGGAGCAGTACTATCCTAATAACTAGACCAATTCGTTAATTACGAGGAAAAACTGTGGTTCGGATTCCACAATAAACTGTAGGTCCCTTAGTTGCTATTAGCTGTATGGGCTATTAATTAACAGCTGTGTCTAAGGAACATGTCGGCCTTAGTCACTAACAAGACTACAAGATCGCGCCACTCATCCTACAGTCATCCTTCACTCATATTTGGGTTAAAATACGCACATAGCGGCATCCCCATCTTAAATAATTGATAATTGATAATTGAATCTATTTAAAAGTGTAAGAAAAAAATAACCAAGTAGTTACAAAAATAAACAAACATATCTTTAAACAGCAGGTATAAATAAATGGTTTAAACTAACAGATACAGGAGTAAACAGACTGAAATTTTGATTTTTATCATAACAGTTTTATTTACCACTAAAACCCCAATTGTAATTTTTTGAAAACCCTGTATTTTGCTACAATTGGGACAGTAAAAAATGCAGTTAAAGAAAGACCAACTTTGACTTTTGTCAGAAATAGACATCCTATACTCAGGCTAAACATTTATTAACACTCAACAATGATTTTAGACTGTGTAATATAGAGCAAAGAGTTAATGTGGAACTTGATGTTTAAGTAAACATTGTACACTCTACAGTGTCAAAATCTCAAAACAGTGAGGAATTACATTGTCATTTCAAGTCAGACAGCTTATTCCAAACGGTCGAGCCCTAAGCTGGGATTTCTGTGTGTAGTCTACATTTGAGTGGTTTCAGAAAACAGTTTGTCCTCTAAGTGGTTAATAAGACACACTCAATTAAAACCACTTTTAAAACACGTCTTAAATAGTTATTATTGAATGACATATTAGTCAATGGTGGCATGCTTTTTGTTAATTTGGGATTAAATTGAAGGGAGTTTGTTTTAGACCACATATATTTAAGAACCAGAATTTATCTTATCGGTAATTTTAAATGTTGTATGGTAAATATTCTATTAGTTTATGTTGAATACGTAGTAGAAAGGTGGAATATTTTCTAACGTTTTTAGAGCTGAGACCGCTAACTGGAATTACCTTGCAATTTTAGTAGCCTAAACAAAAAACCTCTAAATACAAAATTTAAGAGCATAAGACTTTCATGGTCACAAACAATATTGTAGTCTTTGTGATAAAACTGTGTCAGGTCATTTACAGGTTACATTAGCTGGTGTTTTGGCTCCATTGCAGGTAGACATCATCAGAGCGGTAATCTTTACAGTTGGTTTTAGTTCTCCAACAGAGAAGCAAGGAACAGTGATACACTCCATGGTACACCTAAGTGGTGTCTAGGACTAGTGCTGGTGTCTAGGGAAAGGTTCTGCACTGGCCCCCTCACCCTCACGCTACAACGCTCATGGTGGAGGAAGAGTCTGTGCCCTGTGCGATGGGAATTCCCACACAGTGCTCCCCATCAGGCTCTTCCTTGCTCGCCACAAGTATATTTCTGCCGCAACATACCAGAGCTGAAAGGGCACGGTTGTCCCATGCGAGTGTTTTTCCTATATACATTACTTCTCTGTGACTCTATGGTTCTCCATTACTGTAATATTACTGTAAGTAATGGCAATTTGCGACCCGAAAGGCCAGCTCAGTTTACCTAATACATAGTTTTACTCCGACGTAAAAAAATTTGAGTTTAAAAATCGTCGCAGTAGTGACCAAAATTTAAAAAAATTTTCAACTTTTGACTAAAATAAAATGTATTTAAGTATTATACAACTTTTTTACAACCCACCTGTAGTGCAGCCGCAGCGTGGTCGAAGTCGAGTCCTTTGACTCTGTTCCCCGTCGTGAACCCTAGGCTGACCATGTCCTCCAGTACAATGACGGAGGTAGAGGCGTGAAGGCAGATGGGGGTGCGAAGGAGAGGTTCACAATCTCCTTCGCCGCATTGAAGTAGCGAAGGCAGAACTCTGCTGTATACCACTGCCTCATTGCAGAACGCCGGGTCTCGCTGCGCCGGGTGTCTTGAACTGTGCTCTGGATGTCTCTTGATCAACAGAGTCTTGGAGAACTCATTGACTGAAACAGTTTATATATTTAAAAACTTTATTGTATTGATTATTCCTATGTTATACATTCTACGATATAACCTAGTTTTGGTGAAACAGGTTGTGCTAGACCTAGCTGGTCGGGGTAACGCATAGCTAAATCAATCAGGGATTGACAAGATTCAAACCCAGGACCTTAGGGAATATCCCGTGTTCTACAGCTAGACCTGCTCCTGATTAGAATAATTAGTAGCTTTACCTGTACTCCTAAAGGATATGATGATATAACTAAAGTTATACCACTAAATAGGAAAAATAGTTGTAATATCATCTTTATAAATTAATAGGTAGAGTATTTAACCAAATGAGAGTAAATAAATGACACCATGTTGTACAATATTCATCTTTAAAAAGGTGATAGGTATTTGAAAGATAACGTTTGTTGGAAAACTAAAGAGAAAATAATATGGTACACTTTTACTATTCTAATAGCATTTTAGCATGTAGTAGGCTCATTAATTTTATGTTGACTACACATTAAAAAAAGCCAAAATATAGGTTACACAAATTTGCAATAAGAAAAACTGTAGATATTTGAAGACAAAATTCCAAAAGTACCAACAATGTTTGAGCTGTTATAATTAAAACACAAATTCTAAAGGTTATATAAAACAGTTTTTTTTTGTTTCAAGTCAAACGTCAAATATAAATTAAAAATGCAACTTGGGACTGTGGACAAAGGTAAGAGGGGCGTTCAAATAAGGACAAATTTAAATATCTTTTATGTTCCAAGATGAAACATGAATGTAACAAAAGATTTTCATTTTGAAGGCAGTTGATTTAGAGACGGAAATATTTGTTATTCTTCTTAGAATATTTCCAAGCCCACTGGAGACTAAATGAAAGGTTAACTCTACAGAGACTTTTTTACGTGGTAGATGTGTTTCAAATTCAAAGACGAATGTTCAGCTAATTGTATTAAAATATTCAAAACATTACATTTTTGTCAACACTGTACTTCAAATCAATGTATGAATGTTTCCTACATGAAATTGGCAAACTACGTTCAGTTAGTAAGAGTAGTAAAAGAGGGGAAAAATTAGTACATTTTAACTAGCACAATCTTTTCAAGCCAAAACACAAATCAAAACAGGTTACAGATTTTAAATGGGATGAAAAATCCACACTATTCAACATCAATGGTTCAATCAATGGAATAATAACAAACACAGATATAGTTTAAAGAGGTATTTTACATTGCTTATTTTAATTGCAATGACAAAATGCATTCAGTGCAATAACACGTCCCAATAAGCTATGTTGTTATGTTTGCATCATGCAGATGTGCATGTAAGCAAGTGCTCATGTTAGCATCTGGTGGGGTAGGGGGGAAGGATGGGGGTAATGTAGCATGTATGTATCGTAAGTCACAGAGGCTTACGAAATTACAACATGGATACAGGATCCAGGGGTTGAGAAACCTTCTTGTTGTAAATCTCCTTTGCAAGTTGTTTGGTTTCTAACTTTTCCCCCCGATACATAGTATGGAGAAAGTGTTTTCAAAATTTTCCAGTTTTTGTTTTGGGTGGAAATATCTATTTTGGGTCTTCCTGATCCCAAAAAGTGGTTTTTGAAGAGATACCTGTGTGTGTGTACGTACGTGTACAGAGTTTAGAAAAGAGGTTTAAAACTCAAACTCAAAAAATTTTGACAAAAACAATATTTGTTCTTATACTATTTAATGTGGTTGAAAGTAAAAGGGTTTTTGGTAAACAGGGAGAAAATCTTTAATAGTTTCAACTACTAATTGTTAAACATCAAATTTTTGTAATGATTAGTTAATGCTGGGAAATCATAGAAAACAGGATTATCCTTAATCGCCAATCCGTGTGAAATATCGACTGTAAGCTCGCTAAACAGTGAGGTCATTACAAAACGTACCAGTGAGGTCCACCTAAAATGAATTAGGTTCTGATTTATGATTTTTTGTCTTTGTAAGATCTCTGATACATTTTCTAAAGAGAAAAAAAAATTACTTTGAATGGAGAACACAGATTTTAGCACCTACAATATTTGTTATTTAAAATCGGTTGCTTTTCATTTTTACCAGAGTATCGATTTGTATATTGTTTTGATAACATTCTCACTTTTTCGATCTTACAAGTGTTTTCTTCCGATTTTTAAAAAGTTGGGATTAGATATACAGGTCCAAAATTATGTTTTAATTTTGTAATGTCCAACAATTGACACAGAAAGACTAATAACTCTAATAAGGATTTTCAAATATGTTTTCTTTGGAAAATAGCTTTTGGCTCACACAGCTCACAGCAGCTGGAGCTTTTGTATTTTCCATTTCTCAATCCCGAAACAAGTCTCTCACACAAAAGGTTCTTCAAGATGGAAGAAAAATTGCATGTTGTTGCTAAATATCCTAAAGCTACCTCAGCTACTCTGAAATTTGACTCCACAGGTTGTTTGTGTAAGCGACTAAAATTATTTGCCAAAGAGGACATTTTTCTTGACCATTTGAACAAGATCGATATTTCTCCGAGTTTGCACCCCCATCCCACATTCTAAAAAATTAAAATCACCCTACCTTACCTATAGAATTCCTGTTATAAATAAAAGTTACAAAACTACTTTGTACAAACTCACGTTGTTTCCCTTTCCTGCCGCTCACCACGACCCTGGTCACAGAATCAGACAGATCCTGCGTGTCCTGTGAGCGACGCAGGATCTCTATCCTGTCTATCCTGATGTGAGGTTCGCCACACGTCGAGCGCAACACTGACGCAAGGAACTCCTCGTCGCGTTCGAGCGCAGTCAGCAGCGGACTCGAGATCATCTTCCACCATCTGCAACAGTTGTAAATTAAAATTAGAAAACATTCCTATTTGAAAAAATTTAACTAGAGGAAAATAAATTTCAAATCTCAGTTGATAATAACTGGTACCGCCATTATTAACATTTATCTTGATTTACCTTCTTAGTGTTTTAGTCTGACTTCATATCACTCTTTTACCCAGGATTTAAAGTGAAATGTTTTGCCAGCTGATGAAGCGCGTATTTATTTATGAACTTTCTTGTTTTTAGCTGTAGAATCGTATCATCTCGAGAGATTTCTCTTTAGATTAACCATGTACTTCTTGCTATGTTCTAGAGGAAAAATTTAAAATTATTTTATAAGGTTAATAGAATGTTCAGCAACAACTTTGCCATCTAAAATGTTATCAACGGTACAACATCAAACCAGCAAGTTTCTGCTACAAACAATGTTGGCAATACTGTTGTACTGTACTTTAGTACAAAGGCTAAAGTTTCATAAATGTCAGCTGAAACTGAAACAAGAGTAATTAGAGGAGACAGTAGTCTAGTAGATCAGTAGATGAATTAAGTGATTAGGTTGAGCAGCATCAGTGTCTGATCATCTCACTTTCTGATTAGATGACTTAGTTATCAATTGAGTGGATACTATCTTATCAGTTGAGCAGCAACTATAAGAGCAATTAATTGTATACTAATGAGTTAATTAACTAACAAGAATCATCTCTGATTATGATTCTTGGGTGAGTGTTTATAGTGCTTGCATATCAAAAGTTTGCTGGTTTGATCCTGATGGGTGAAGTTGGTAGCTTTTTGATTCAAGTCCGTTCACAAAATTCAGGCAGTTTGAGGGGAAGTTCCCCCATTACTTTTTTCCAAAAAAGATCAAATGGAGGGGATAAATTTCTTCTCCTAAAATTATAGATCTTGATCACTGGGCGTTATAAATAAGCCTTGACTAAAGAAACAGCTGGTTTTAGTCAATAACAAACCTACACAGGTGATGACAGTACATTCTACACTCACACTGCATTCATATTATGTCTGCAAGTAATAATAATAAAGTGGTAGCCACAACATTGCTAGGGTACAGAAAATGTAAGACCAATTGAGTAGCTACTATCTATATCTAGTTGAATATGTAGCAACTTCTTGATTCCTTTGCTAGGTAATAGATTGTGTCAATTATAGGTTTGCTCACGCACAAGCACTGTCAATGGTGCATACATCGTAACTACTCAGCCCAGAGACATAATCTTGAGTTTTATAATAACAAATCTAAAGCTGCAGGTGCTAGGTTCTTTTACTCTCTGCCAAAAGACCTTGTAGCAATAAATAATGTCGAGCCCTTCAAAAAGAAAATGTAAGGTATATACATAAAAGAAAAGTCATACTACGTACTCTTTTAAATGAATATTTTTAATAACTATTCTAGATATTAATTAATAGATTAATTAGAGATAGAGGAATAGATTAATGAATTAGTATCATAACTTAAGTTATGATACTATTCTGGAATTATAAATTTTTTAAATCATGAATAAAGCGTTTCTGATTCTGAGTATTGAGACCCTTCGGTTGAATACTTCCAGAGAGAACAGGGTATAGGATGACCAGTGAGAGGGATAAAGGAAACGCTCGTAACAACACTGAGATTCTCACTACTAAGCTAGCGGTATTAAATCATGTGAATGGCAACTTATTGTTTAAATTACTGTATAAAATAACTAAATCAATGTTGGTGGGGTTTTTTAATGCATACCTCTTGCCACTCTAATTCGCACAATCTATACCATTTGGATGGTTTAGTAGCTAACTGGTCAATTCAGCAAGTATAGACTTGGGGAAGTGGACAATCGTATTAATGAAGAGTTGAGTTTGGTGTCAGACAACTTAATCCTCAACCAACTGGACATTCCCACAAAATATCCTCTGAACAATGTGTTACATTGTGATAAAGCCTTTTGTTTGATATTTAATCTTAGCTGCCATCTATATATTTCACAACCTAAATAATACAAATATGTAATAACATAATATTAGAAGTTTTACTTTTTTACCGCTTAATGTCCATTTGTAATGAATTGACATTGTATTTACACAAGATGAAAGAGAAGAACAAATACAATTTATTAATTAGTTAAACAGGTATGTTCTGTAAAAAATAAACGGAAACAATTTGTTACAACAGCCACAAAAGATGGAATACGAGTAGTTTGAAGTATTGAAGCCATTTCTGGAAGGGTCCTTATGACTGAGCTTGTTAAAAAGTCAAGATGCCACAAATGATGTACTACTAGTTGCCTCCAAACCAGTTGAAAGTTGAAGCATTTTGTGTAGCATTCTAAGCACAACTGCTGTACTGCAAATGAATGTTTTGGATTCAATTCAAAAACAAATTATCTTCTTACATGATTTGTTTATTAGTCGACCAATGAAGTGGTTTTAAACTGTGCTTTATGTCTCTGGGAATTGATGGAGATCTTTAGAGTTCCGATGAAAAATTAATTACAATACCACAATTGATCATAGAATCTAAATTTCAGCACTTATGTCTACATTTTTTTACTTCTTGCAGCGACTAACTACTAAAATAAAGTTTACAGCTTTTTTTAAATGTAAAGATTTTATGTAATAAAATAAAAACATTTCCATGAATATACAGAACACAATTTCTCAAAATTTTGTTGGAATCAGATGAATTTTTTATAATGCGTAAAATAATACAAACATATTGACACACATCAAAAGCTTCATCTCAGAACTATTGAAGCATGGGAGGTAGTACCCTAAAATACATTGGAAACAAGTCAGAAATGTGTATAAAATTCAGTACATTTAAAACGGTGATCAAATGGAAGGTGTGCAAGGAAAAATATGAAGGCATACTTCTATCTTCTATCTATCTATATTCTATATATTAATAGACAAGCATGTTTTTTGACCCTTTTTCTCGGCTCGTGTGCATCACAGGGAAATCTACACATAATGTTAGAAAGACATTTTCATGTAGATGTGCAGAATCCCTTAAAAAATAAAATAGGCACACAATATGAATTAAACATTTTGCCAAAATTGAATTTAACCTTATGGGTTGCCATGCTGGTGACGAAATAACAACGAAATATAAACAGAAAGTCAAAACAAATGGATGAAATTCCAATCACATGTTTTATTTACTGCATCGGTGAAAAAAGATAAGTCTGTACATTACATATTTTTGGTCAAGTTTTTTACCACTGGACGACCTCTAGTATATTAATTAATTCCGTAAGCGAATAGGTCCCCACGAAATATCTCGAGATAGGAAAACGGTAGCATGGCTGTTGAGGATTCATTTTAAAGGTCCAATGACGGTGGGGAAAATATCAGAATTGTCAAAAATCACCACTGCTCTGTCCCACAGGCCGTCAAAGATCGAGTCATTATCTATAGTCCAGGCAAACTAAACAAACTTACATAGGGACCGTTAAAAAAATTGCAAGAAAACGTTTTATGGTTTTATTTTGTAGAGTTGGGTTTGCAGAATGACATACTAAAAGTTGCCAAAAATCGGTGCACGAGAAAACCACTAAAATCACAATTTAAAATGGCGGCTTTTTTCAACATTGGACAAATTAAAAAAAACATATTTCACATGTATTTGTTATGCACATTTTTCGAGATATTGACTTGGGACCACCGCCTGTATTTATTGAGTGGTTAGTACTTCATTTTGATAGGGAACATGTTTTTGGCCGCCATCTTGGATCCGCCATATTGGACATAGATAATTTTTTTTCAAAGTAATGATAGTGTTATGACACATCATTACCAACTACATTTTTACACTGATTTCAATGCCAAAATCCGTTTTTAAATATCTTTATTCATTTAGAAGATATATACAAAAGAAAACTCTGCACCATACATTTCTTATGGACGTTTCGTAGTTTGATATTTTTTTAAATTATTTTTCTTATATCTCCAGTTTTTATTAACGCTTGTAGTTCGTTCTAGGCTTAAAATATTCAGTAATGTAAGGGCTTTCATTTGAGCTCTTGATCATTAAAATCAGACGAGTTAAAGACCAGCTACAAACCTCAGAACAATATTAAATTTAACTTTTTATAAATATATTTTTATTAAAATATTTATAACTCGGGTTGTTAATACGTCACCAAGTTCTTTCTTGTCTCAAATTACTCAGTGAATGTTTAGCTTTGATTTTATTAATCACTAAACAAAATCTGACAATTTTAAAATGAGCCATGGACCATAATTTAACATTAAAATGTATTTATTTTGAAATTTGTCTTTAGTTAAGGACATATATCCCAAACCCTAATAACTCCTGGAAAGTAATCAATAGCTAAAATAAAAGTCAATATTTTGGCAAATTATTTAAGACTATAAAGAGTTTTGGGAGTTATTTAGAATTAGGAATATACGTCTTTAACTAAAGACAAATTTCAATATAAATACATTTTAATGTTAAATTATGGTCCATGGCTCATTTTAAAATTGTCAGATTTTGTTTAATGATCAATAAAATTAAAGCCAAACATTTACTGAGTAATTTGAGACCAGAAAGAACTTGGTGACGTATTAACAACCCGAGTTATAAATATTTTAATAAAAATATATTTATAAAAAGTTAAATTTAATATTGTTCTGAGGTTTGTAGCTGGTCTTTAACTCGTCTGATTTTAATGATCAAGAGCTCAAATGAAAGCCCTTACATTACTGAATATTTTAAGCCTAGAACGAACTACAAGCGTTAATAAGAACTGGAGATATAAGAAAAATAATTTAAAAAAAATATCAAACTACGAAACGTCCATAAGAAATGTATGGTGCAGAGTTTTCTTTTGTATATATCTTCTAAATGAATAAAGATATTTAAAAACGGATTTCGGCATTGAAATCAGTGTAAAAATGTAGTTGGTAATGATGTGTCACAACACTATCATTACATTGAAAAAGAATTATCTATGTCCAATATGGCGGATCCAAGATGGCGGCCAAAAACATGTTCCCTATCAAAATGAAG